TTTTTTATATATTTTATATATATGGTATTTGTGAAATATGTAAATATATAAAATATATGAAAAATTGATGTGGGTACTCAAATGAAAGGTCTCGATGAGTGTAATGTCAGGGTGAGCTTATATCTTTAAAAATGTCAATAGTTTACAAGATACAAGGTCATTTCTTAATTATGTATCTAGAGATAGGGTATTTTCAAATTCAGCCTAAATATATATATATACTTATCATAATAAATTGACTATCGGTGAGAATGATATGAATTCTTAAAAAGGCACCAATTCAAATCAAGACCTTTGCAATGACATTAAATTTCACTAAAAAAACCGATTTTATTATATGACTATCGTGGAGACAAACTTTTTCTTATTTTTTTAATAATATAGATAATTATCTTAATTATAGTATCTTATAGATCATATAATTTCTTTTAAATAATTAATTACACACCTAGATTCAATTAAAAACATCAATTTTCGAAAAAACGCAAAGTAGATAAAAATATTGAAGAAATAATTTTTTTTTTTTAATATTTAACATTTATCTTTTTATATTGTTTAAGTAGAAATTATTTTTACATAAATTTCTAATAATAATAATAATAATAATTTTCTATTAATTTTTCAATAAAATATCAAAATAATATTTCTTCTTTCCATCAAACTAATAATTAACTTCTAAATAATATTTAACAGGTAGTCGGTCAATTTAAAGGTGCTCTAGGATCTGGAAGCGGGTCACTCTTCTCCAACCTTCGACAAATAATAGAAGCAGCTTCATCTGGTATCCAAAACAGTGATACTGCAGTCAAAAGCGGCCTGGAAGCTGCGAAAAATGCAGCGCTGACCAGCTACTACGCCGGAAGAGCTGCTCCGAAGACAGCAGTGGATTTGACCAACGTCGGGATGAAATCCCTCGAAGATTTTATAAAGAATTCGTTTTCGCCCCCGGGAGTTTCTGGAAAAAAAGTCAAGCAAGTAGTCGTTCTCTATGAGGATGAATCCGTCGAACCTGTTTCTGATGTCGATAATTCATTGCCTTTGTTCGCAACTGGCCCTTGATCGAAGATCTACCGTTAACTTTGTTACTTTATCTAAATAATAGATTTAATTGAAGCCTGGAGTGTAATTTTAAGATAAATAAAATGTTTCTGATTATGGTAATAACCATAGAAGTTGTTACAATCACGCTCAGATAAACAAACGTCTTTAATGATTTTATGATAAGAAAATTGAGATATCATTTTTCTCGGTGATTAGAAAATAACAATAATATTACTTTTTAAATTTATTTACGACATAAGGCGGTTGTTTTTCATCTTTATTGTCATCTGGTAATCTTAATCCGTAAGTAATTAATTGGAGAAGTACGTAGGTAATTATCATTTTTTTATTTTACATGAAAAAAAAATTTAGTGTCTATTTTTATCTGCTCGATACCATTTAAAAAGGAACATCGAATCTTGGGCAACATTTCCAGTTCTAATCGGATTATCTGTTTAATTATTTTTTAAATAAAATGCTCGAAAAATATATTTTTTTCTTGCTTATTGTTTGCGCCATTAGTCAGGTAAATTTTGATAAATTTAAATTATTATTTTATTTTAGCCGTTTGATTCTTTTTAATGATTATATTGTTTAGACAAAATGTCAAAATCCGGGAAATACAAGAGAAAATGGTGTACCACAGTCTTTTATTGGAGAAATTCTTAGACGTACTGCTGATCTTAGACGCCAATTTGCAACTATGATTGATAAAGTAAGTAGAGATTTTATATATATTTTTATAATAAATTAATTAATTGTAAAATAAAATTTCTTTAAAATTTCAGTACAAAAAAATGAATTTAATTAATGAAAATTAATTTAACAGATGTTTTATAATTTTTTTAACAAGTAAGCTAATATAAAAAAAAAAATGACATTAAAGTTAGCAGTCACAATTTTTTAATTTTATTTAACAAAATAATTTACTCCAAATTTTTAAAAATAAAAAATGCATTTTTTTTTTAATAATTTCTGATGAAAAATTTTCATATTTAGAAATAACAATAAAAAAAATAACAAGTGTAAATTTTGTATAGATATTTTTTTTTTTATATATTATTTCTTATATAATTACCTACTAATAGTATATTACATACCTAGGCCAGTAAAATAAGAAAAGTCTCAGATCACATGTAATTGTTGGCCGAGGCGAAGCCGAGGTTGACAAACATGTGATCTGAGGCTTTACTTTTTACTGGCCAAGGTGTGTATACTATTTTTCTGCTCGACGTAGCTGGAATGTGGCAACTTTGTTTAGCGCAGCAGCCAGAAAGTTGCCACTTTCCGGCCGGAGGGCAGAAAAATTTATTTATTTATGATACGCAGGTTATTTTCTCATTTAAAGGCATATTGAAAAATAATACTGAAGGACTTTTCGGCGAATTTAAAAATTCTTTTGGCAAAAACGGCAAAATCGAAACTTACCAACCAGGTTTAGTATTTTATTTTAACGATAAGATTTTTATTAAATGTAAATTATTAATATATATATATTCTGAGTGTACAAAATTATCGTCAAAGACTGCCAATTAATTTTTTCCATCAAACTATATTTTAATTAAAACTTTAATATTAAATTTTTTTTTTAATATTTTTTAATTATATAAAGAGCAAGAGAACGAAGCTGATGACATGAATGTGGAACCACAAGTTGAACTGTTCACAAACCGACTGTTACCGAATCAAAATTACAATGGTCGTCTTATGGGTCAAAATTACAATGGCCGTTTTGCAATTCAAAATTACAATGGCCGTCCCATCAGAAGTGATTTTATTTATAAACTTATTAACGACCTCTGCGCAGAAGGAAGATATATCCCTGGAATATGTAATGCATAAAATTTGAACTTTTAAGTGACAAAAAATATAATTTAAAGCAAATAAGAATGAAGTAGAATAGAATAGAATATCGTTTTTATTTGTATCACATATTGCGTTTTACAAAACTGTATCTTAAATTATTTATTTACATTTGCATATACACTATTTTTGGCTTAAAAATCAACTGCTTTTACTCTCTTTTAACTTTTCACCCACCTCATCCTTCATATCACAGTCGCATTACAATACTATTAATACTATTTTATACTTATTTCTAGTATTCATCCCTGTATATTAATGACAGCCTTTTTCTGACATTCAATATTGTAATACTACTCAATTTCCTTAAATAATTTTTCCATTTCTCTAACATATATACACAGCTCCCTATTTATTTCCCCTTTTAAAATTATCACTAATCTTTCTCTTGTCAATTCCCCCTCTAGCTCTTCCATCCACTTGTATCTTGCTTGTTACCCTTTTTCACTTATTTTTTCCATTACCTCTGAACAGCTTAATAAATGCATCAGTGTCTCCTCCTCTTTCTTGCATATTCTGCATTCCCACTTCTTTTGCCCTTTTTTTCCCGCTTCTCCACAGATTTCCACATCTCGTTCTTGCCCATACCTCTTTGTACTCACTATTAATTCTATCTTTTTTCCAATAACTGATTTCACTTTCTTGTAATATATCTTTGTAAAACTCGTTATATCTGGACTTTTCTATTAGCAACTTTTCCTTTTTTTCTAGTTCTTTTTTGTATTTTTCCAGTCCCTCCTTTATTTTTTCCTCTATTTCTTCTACATTTCCTCCCTCGCATATTCCCCTAATAATTTCTTCTATGCCTATCACCACTAGAAAATTCTCCACTTTTTTTCCCCATTTTGTTGGATTTTAAAAATGTTTAATAATTTTTTAACTGATTAAATTTTTAAATATGAATAAAAATACTGAGCGACGTGTAGATTATATAAAATCGTAGTAAAAACTTTAAAATAATTTTTACATGAACAGTAAGTAATAATTCGACTAGATTATAATTAGAACTTATTTTTCATTTAATTATTTTTTCAACCAATCAAATTAATTTAATCATTAATTAATAATTAATAAAAAATAAAACTTACAATTAAATCAACATCTTCTTTTTTGATAGAAACTTTCAGTAATTCTCTTTCCTTGGCTTTTTTCTCGGCTTGTTCTTTATTACGCCTGTCACCAATTATACTCAGCGCCTGTTGAATAAAAAAATTATGACATTAAAGTCAGCTGTTACTTAATAATTTTTTAATAAATAAATTTGCTCCGAAAAATTATTTTTAAAAAATTGCATTTTTAATTTTTAAAAATTTTTACATGTCAATTTTTTGTTCTCATTTTTTTGCCATAATTTATTTGTTAAAAAAATTCTAAAAATGATTAACAGTCACTTGACCATTTTTTTTATTTTTTTTTTTTAACAAATAAATTTGTTCGAAAAAATTATTAAAAAAAAATTGCATTTTTAATTTATTTAAATTTCCACATGTCAATTTTTTTGGCAATAATTTATTTGTCACCAAAATTCTTAAAATTAATAAATATCTGCTAAATTAATTTTCATAAAATATTTAATCATTAAGTCCTCGTTTAAAAAAAAAATCCTTAATAGGTTAGTTGAGGTTATGTTCGCAGTGAGCTCCAAAATTTTAACTTTAATTAAAAAGCTTAATAAAAAAGTGACAGAAAACATGACATATAAAACTTAAAATTTATTTAAAAAAATAATTAAGTAAGTAAATAAATAAATAAAAATAATAATAATTATCACGTGTAAACTTACACACGAGAAACCATCAGACGAGGAAATTTCTTTTTCCTCAGCGTAATCAGTGACTCTTTCTAAATCCGCAGCCCCGCTGTCATACTTAGCGACTTTCTTTTGTGACTTTTCCTGCTGCACTTCATCGGAATCACCATTAACATCTTCATCTGCCATTTTTATAATTAATTATTATTTATATTTGTAACTCTATTTCACTCTGCCCTTGCCTTGCTCTCAACTCGCACTAACAAAATTTTTATGTACTTGAAGTTGGTTACAGTGAGATCTAGGTTTAACTTCATGTACCAACATTATTGAATTTATAGTTCAAAATTTAAAAAATTATGACAATTGATCAATTTTTTCAATTTTTATAATAAATTTATTACACTAAAAAAAAAAAATGCTTCTGAAAATTTTCAATGAAAATTAATTTAAATTTAAAAATAAATAAATAAAATTAATTTAAATAAAAAAAAAAAAAAAAA